GGGGGGGGGGGTCACTTGTCATGTGACATTATGTTAGGGCCCTAAGGTCACTGATCTATTATACATTCACAAGCTTTAACTTTCTTTTAAATTCTACATTTCCCCAAGTCTGTTCCGCTTTGTCACTTTCTAGGATGTTTTACTAATCCACATATCAGATAGTCACATCAAACTGCTTGACTTGTTGATCGAGCTGGTGGCCATGCAGAGATTAAGCTCAGATAGCAGATAACAGATTCTCTCCCAGTTATCCATACTTTTATTATTAAGGTGACTTTTTCTATAAAGATTTGGTCCCTGCCGTTGTGATATGATAATAACCCGAGGTCTCATGTATTGGTGTCTGACCAATTAGATTCAAGCACAACACTCATTAACGGTCTGCCATTTCTTATATTCAGATGGGCCGCGTTTATGCAATCCCCTTCCAGGTCCATGGGAGAGTGAGGTGTGTTGTGTAACTGCTATGTCGGCTCTACAGTAAACATGTGCATCGTTCTGTTAATGTAATCACACCACTGAGTTCACCTGTCGTGATAAAGTCATTGTAAACTTGTGTGTGTGTGTGTTGCGTGTGTGTGTGTGTTGTGTATTGAAATGTAGATAGGCTGTAACCTTAAACGAAGCATGCTGGCTGTCAGCGTACCACCTTGAACTCTTGCAGTTGTTGTGGTGTGTGTGTAAGAGACACCAACAAGAGCAGTGGAAGCCCCAGCTACTAACACACATGCCAGCCGGAACATACCAGAAATTAATGAGATAGTTTACCTAAAATCAGCTAGCGCTCTGGTTTAGATTTAAACTATGATGTACTTATCTATGCATTTTAAAACAATTTGTAACAGTTACGCTCGTAGTGATTTCATTAAATCATTGCCACAACATGTCCAGACAATGTTCACAGGAGCTAAATGCCATGCAAGCATTCCCTGACACTGTTATCACTATGGTACTGAATTAAAGCACATTAGATCTGTTCTATGACTCAACAGATCTAATGTGGTAGCAAGGCATGGTATGACATGTTTATTCATGTGACTGGCATGCCTGTGTATGTGTGTGTTTCTGTGTGTGAGTGAGTCCAACCGTTGAAGCAGCATTCATGGCGTCTATTTTTAGCTGCTCCCTGTGAAAACGAGCCGTCAGTAGGCCAACAGGTCTCTTTACAACTGCATAGATGGGTAGAACTGGCTACTACTTTTAACAACACCCACCACCCACTAAATCAGGTGTTCCCAAACTTTCTCATGTCACTCATGTCACCCCTACAATAGAGGCACATTAAACGCCCAATCTGAGATGATTTTGTCCCCTCTGAGTATTGTTTTAGGTTTGAAGATAATAAAACCTATAAACTACAATCAAAACGGAC